TTGCAAAAAGCAAAGCTACAAAATGATATAAAAAGTTTGTGTAATTATTATACTGGATTTTGCATAAAATCAAAAAAACTCCCATCGGATACTTTTGTCCAAGGGAGTGTAGTGCTGAATTGTTAGCAGTTGTTAGCTTTCTATAAATTCGTTCGAATATTACCCGATAATGAGTCGAATTGTTATCATATTTGGTAATACACCAAAGCATCCTATGATGAGGTACGTAGTGCCGAATTGTTATCACTTATTTGGTAACCCACTAAAGCATAATTTTACTTTGGTGTCGTTACTGATTTTTTTCGAATTATAATATCTGATACTTTGATGGGTTAATACACAGTGATACTCGATAAGTCGGACACTCGATAAGTCGGACAACATATATAAACTCTCATTAAGCTGTAAGTCGGACAACTTTCCAGCCAAATACATAGTAATAGGCAGACTCGATAAATGGCTCCGACTTATCGAATGCACGTGACTAATTTAATAATGGGAAAATTATTATTCTAAATAAATATCCATGCTTGTTTGTGTTGAATAGTTCGTTCGTTTTTTTTCAATTCCCCGCTTAACTGTCTTAAGCCTGAAACAAATAAATTGTTGGTACTCACGAAGCTCTTTTTTTTTAAGACTAGTGAGTTTTTTTAATTTTCTTCCTACTTTACGCCCGCCTCTACTACCAGTATTCATGAACCTCGTGTTAAACAAGACGAATAAAATCAAAGTTTATATGATAGTGAATTCGACTTAGCGAGAGTCATTTACTACTCGATAAGTCGGTACTCGATAATAATAAGTCAGTTTTTGCCTAACTTGGTCAAAAATATTAAGCCTTTTCAAGTCGGTCAACGTATGAAAAGTCGTGTCGGTCGATAAGTCGGTATCACGTGATACTATGAGAACATCATTACTATTTCAGGGGGTAGTTGTTGATTATGCCACACAGCAGGTGCCACAATCAGTATTGGTGCCATAAATGGATATCATGTGATACATCCGTCGCACAGCATTAATTCTGTAATTGTGTTTCGAAACACGGAAGTTACGCGTCAGTTTTAAACAGCTTTACAGTTTCAATACATAAGACATGCAGTTAGAGATATGTTTGAGCGACAGTGATTGAGTTACGATCATGCTTACATGCTGTTTATACATTCGTTTACGTCGAGACATTAGGAGCACTTTGATACGATAAAAGCATTTAGTGATCATAATGGAGGGGTAGGAAGATTACGTGTGGTGTTTCAGGAAAAGATATAAATTAAATAGCTAAATTCTACGTTCTCGCAACGAGAAATTTTCACATACAGTACAGTAATTGGCAGCCGATAAAATAAACTTATTTCATAAATTTATTATCACATTTGATTTCGTTTCAATGGATACCAATGATAATATCACTTGAAAAAGCGTATGCACTGTTTGGTGTGAATGAACACCAATTGAACTTCCTATTGAAAAATTTGAAAAAAGTTGGTGGTCGTTAGTAACAAACATATGGACGCAATATAACTCTTATAAATTTGTCAACGATGATTCCTGGAAATTTTACGTCTGCCGCATCGAGAATCGAGCACACGACAAGAAGAAATTTTAATTAATCTTTGCAATGCAATGCAAAATTAAAATTATATAGTTAATGTCTTCGGAAGTTGTTCAAATCGAGCGGTATAAAGATTCTCCTGATCATACACACCTTATACAAGATATTGATAGAATCAAACATGTTCGAAGAAAGTGGATTGAAATTTACGAACGGCAGTGAGCAAATCACCATACTTGTGTCCGCGAACGGAGGAACAGAGAAAAACTGATAGCCGAAGACTTACTGTTAACGAACTGATGGAAAGAGTGCGGGATATATACTGGAGGGTAGAGGAAAGTGGTAGTGCAGAGCAGGTAGATAGTTTTATTGTGGCACCAATGTGATTGTGGCAGTCAATTTGTGGCACCTGCTGTGTGGCATAAACTACTCCTGCCCAAATACACCTGAATGAAGTTCACAGTGATAAGGAAGGGTAAAAAAAAACTGATAATTGTATTGTTTCGCTATTTCAACACAAGAAAACGGTACCTTTTCCTTGTTTATTTGAATTAACTTCAAAAGTTGTGGTCGTCTTAATTCACTAGAAAAAACAAATTATGAGTGGTTAGCCAATCGATGATTTCAACATTTTTGTCAGGTAGAAATTTAGGTCGTCCAAGAACTTTTTGTAGTGTAAATGTACCATCCTGCTTGTTCCAGTCTGATACCACGCTCGCGACTGTTCTCTCTGCAACACCCAATACTTCAGCAACTTGCTTGCGTAATGTGAGCGTTTGATGGCTTTTCCCTACAGAATTAGCCCCAGATAAGTAGCTATAAACGTTAATAATCATTGACTTTCATTGTCTGTTAGTGGTGCACCGTTTCGTTTTAAGGGAGAAAAAAACATGTTAAGGTAGAGAAATTTGAGCCACAGATACGTTTGGTCATGTTATTTTAGACTTTAGTCTGCCATGCCTGGTAACACAACATTTGTTCTAAGTGAGGTGCAAATCTTTTTGCACCAGACCATACAAGAGAAAGAGTTTGGACCTCAGTACTTCCTATTACCATGCCATTTTGTGAAAAATTCTTTGTGTCTATTAGTAATTGTGACAGAATTGACTGATTCAACGTGGAATTATTATTGGAGCATGGCTGTTTGACCGCTCTGAACGGGAAATTGAAGCCAGAACTGGCTATGCCAGAAGCACAATACATGACACAATAAAAAGATATTGTGAGATCCCGCCCACATAGTGGCAGACCACCATTACTCACTAATAGGGACAAGCGGCATCTGGTAAGGATTGTTCAGTCCCATCATCAACAATCTGCAAAACAGGCCCACAATAATTTTGTCCAGTCATCTGGAATTGTTTGTGAACACGATGGGCCTATCCTGAGGGGCTCCATGTGACTAGCGCTATAAACTATAGCATAATAGCCGTCTATGCCATAGCTTTCAACGTTTATCACGGTCTAGACGAATATTCCCGAAAAACGACTATTCCTTCTAAGGAGTGAGAGAAGCATACTCTGTCACTTAGTTCAACGATATTATAATACTCTTCGCCTGGCGTCGAGCGGTAATGCCATCGCAACGGAACGGTAAGTAATCCATCGACGAATACAATATCATAGGCTAAACGACGAATCCATTAG